AGCCATGATACGGCCAGTCTGGAGTGAGGTGCCACGTCTCTCCCACCCAGACCACCTGCATCATGGTGTGGGCACATTTTGCCACTCGGATCTTGTCTTCTGAGTATGTTTGTGTATGTGGGTTTGAGTATATGAATACATGTGTGTGCATTTTTTAAATGTTTGACTAACTCTGTATACCCTTGAAGTGTTTTACATACATTGCCCATTAAACTCTTTCTTCAAGGTTAAATGATGTCAGCAGGACAAGTGATCTAGTTATTTCCATCTGTCAGATAAGGAAACTGAGACCTGGCACAATCTGTCCCAGGCCTTGTTCCTCTCAGTGGCAGAAGGGGAGAGAGGAAAACTAATGTTGTTAAGGGTCCATGGAGGCCAAGCGCTCTCTCTACATCATTTCATTTCATCTGCCCCAGCATCCTGGGAGGGAGGCGTTGTTACCCCATCTTACACTTGAGGACACTGAGACTCAGAGAGTCGGAGTCACCTGCCCGGAGTGTCGGAGCCAGAACTTAACACCAGGGCTCCCGGAGCCCAAAGCTGAGGTCTGGGGTGATTGTGAACGTCCACAGTAGGGCCAACTTTGTGCTAGGCACTGGGTGAGTCCTTTCTCAAAATATCAATCCTAACCATCTAGGATCAATCCTGGCTTTCTGAGCCTTCGCATGTGCCAGGCGAGGGCTGAGATCTGCCCATGCAGGACTCTGGCGGACAAGGCATGTGTCCAGCTTGTCTCCGAGTCCTCACGTGGCACAGAGCTGGGCCTCCTGTTGACGTGAAGCGTCCACGCCAGCCCTGTCCTTTCCTAGGCCCCTCCTTTCATTCCTGCGGTGTAGACTGAAGGTCAGTGTGGGCTCTTGGATAACAAGTCCCCTGGACTGCTACTCACATCCTGAATGACCCAGGCATACCTTGCAGGGGAAGTCAGAGCCCCCCAACCAGCTCTCTGCACCCAAGAAACCACGTCAGCTCCCAGGAGCACCTCAAACTCTTTCACCTTGACCTACACAGCTGCTGCCCACCTTTTCCAAGATTTCCAGGCAGGTTGTCTTCTCTCACTGCCCTAAGGCATGATTTGATGATGATAAACATTTTCACATGAAGGCTTGGGTGACTCTGAGTCATAATTCATTGCTTTGTTTCTGTGGTTTATCTATTTAAAAAAAAAAAAACTTAGAAGAGGGGGCAGGAGTCAGTGAGTGGATGGTGTGAGTAATCCCAGCCTCTCTCAGCTCTGGTGGGAAGATGAAAACGAGGGGTGGAGGCACAGAGGGGGAGAGGCTGGGAGGGCTGGGCAAGGAAAGCCACGACCCCAGTTCCGGATAGGGAGGACTCGGGCTCCCAAGTCAGATAAGGCTGTAATCCAAACAAGGTTTATGTGCTCAGCTGCAGACTGTGGGAGCGTGGAGGCGGGAGAAGGGAAGCGTTCCAGCTGAGTGATCCATAACCAAAAAGGGATGGCCTGTCCAAATCCTCCCCAGGCCTCAAGGCCCAGGTCAAGTGCCACCTCCTCCAGGTGGCCTGCCAGGACCACCACCCCAGCTAAGAGCTACCCTCTCTCCTCTGAACCTGACCTTGTCATTTATCCCTAGAGCTGATCGATGGCTTTGCTGGTCCCCATCACTGCTTATTCTTCTCACCGCCCCGATGCTATCATGAGCCCCAAGGGCAGAGAACCTGTTTTTACCATCTCTGTATCTTCTGCGCAGGTGACACCCACACCAGTCCGCACCTTGGATGATGTTAGACTACACCTGTGTGCAGACCCACGGCTCCCAAGTCAGCATCGGGGACCAAGTTTCAGAAAATGGCACCACGGAATAATCACACCACTTCACCTGGGCCTTGGCTTTTATACTGTACGACGCCCTTTCATACTCTTATCGGGTAGGCGGCAGGCGATCTGAAGCTCATTTTACAGTTAAGAAAGCTGAGGCTCAAAAGCTGTAGTGACTGCCCAGTGAGCAGTGAGTACACAGAAACAGCTCTGGATGCCAGGTGTCTGCCTACGTCCACATTTTCTGGGGAGAGGCTGGAGGTGTCCATCTCCTTCAAAGCACATGACACATGGTTCGGGGGACACTGCGTTGCTGCAGCTCACCACCATCCAAGATGCGCAGTGTGTCACAGCATAACCGAAGCGCTGAAGAAACCTTTTGCGTTTCGTTCAACACAAACTTTCCTTTCCTGGACCCTTTTGCATGGGACCTTTTTCGGGGGGGAATGTCTCCTGCCCCAGAATGACTTGCCCAAGGGGTGAACCGTGCTCCCAGGAGAACTGTATGTTACAGACTGAGAAAGGCTTCGGCTAGGTGAGCAAAGCTCTAACGGTGAAATGTCAGGGCTCAGCCAGGTCGTAAGAACATTTCTTATTACTGTTTTTTTACTTGTTATTACTGAACATTTCAAATATACAAAAATAGTAGAGCACCATAAATCCCCACATAGCCACCACCAATCACCAAATTAGCTTCAACAATATTCAACGGTCTGTATTTGCTTCTCCCACCCTCTTTTTTCTGAAATACTTTAAGGAAAATCCGAGATAGCATATCATGTCCTCTGCAAATACTACTTCACTAGTAACACCGCCACAATATTACGCCCCCTAAAAACATTAACAATGATTCCTGAATAACGAACACCCCGCCTCCTTGATTCTCTCATGCATGCCCTTCTACAGCAGCCAGGCTTGAATCAGGACTCACACCAGCCCCACGGAGTGCTCTTAAAAGGCTCTAAAAAGTCTGCTAGTCTAGAACAACTCCCTCTCCCCCACCCTTTTACTTCCCCCTCGCCATCCTGTCAGAGAAGTTCGGAGCTGCTCGTGGTCTGGGTTTGGGGATGACCCCGTGGTGGAGTTTCACATGTGCCTGCAGTCCCTGCACAAAGTGGTGGTTAGATCTACAGGCTCGGACACATTGAGGCTCAGCTTTACGGCAAGAAAACATCGGGAGTGGTGTTGTGTCTTTCCTATTATGTTCCCCCTTGCTGTCCAACTGCAGCAAAGCTAATATTGATCCCTGGCTTTGGATGGAGGGGCACATCCTCTTCAAGCAACCGGGTCCTCCTGGTGTCTCCCCAGTTCTGTCACATTCTAGAATCAGGTCCTAGAGTCATCTCTGACCCAGGATTTTCCCATTTTCCATGATTTTATGGAAGGGTCTCTCCTACCATCGAGTTCCAAAATTCTACCACCTGTCCTTTCCTAGGCTGTCTCTAGGCGACCCTCTACCTTTCCTATTTTTTCCTTTAAGGAAAAGACATTTTTAAATGGACAGACAAGCTGGGGAGCCTGCGTTCCCTTCAGGTCAGGGCCACACCACTGACCCGGGGGCTTAGGGGTCCCAGGGTCTCAGCCTGTGGATCTCCCCAGCCACCTCTCGGAGGAGTCAGAATCTCAAGGAGAACAGGAACACATAGTTCAACACCATAAATATGCATCCAAAAGTTTTAAAAACCAAATTACACAAATCAAGCTTATTCTGAGAGGTTCGTCTGCCAGGGGTCTCTAGTGCTCCAATCAGCATAATTAAATAGTACGATCGCTCTAGAATTGATTGTGGTTTTCACGTTTTTTTACCACCCAAAGACCATTTCAGCAAGATAATTTTAAGCTAATAAGAACCCCCAAATTAGAAACGAATTAAAGAGATGGAAAATACAAATGTATTTGTTTTTAGTCGGGCACTATTTTTATCAGAGGAATCATGAAAAATTAAAATTGTTAAATAGTCATAGGAAGGTTGTCAGTCAAGGGCAATGTGCCTTTCCACCTCTCCCTGCTGCAGGATTTTAAGGTGATAGATCAGAGGCCATTCCCCCGAGGGCCCCCAGGAAGCAATAAAGAGACTCGGAGCAGAATTACACAGTGCGGGCTTGGCACGGAAAGGGCGTTGCCATGTAACACTCTCAAATCTTTGGAGATTAAGATTCATAACACCTCTTGCTTTTCAAATAAATGCAGGCAGACCCAGCAACAGGATGAAATCATTGCAATACTTCTCATGCCCATTTCATAGATGAGACCCTGAAGCCTGGGCAAGGTGAGAGTTCTGCATGGGGTCACGGCGCAAGCTGGGAAGGAGCCAGAATTACATCTCTATCTAAATGCGCTTGGTTCCATAAAACCCCCTCCTCACCGTTCCCCAAATACTTCATAAATTGGTTTTTTAAATAGATGTTTTCATATTGACACTGGTTTGCAGGACTCTCTTAGGATTCGTGACAGCCTTGAGTGCTCCGGCCCCAGGAATCGGGAGCCAGCTGCTCCAACGTGAGGAACCCCAGTCTAGAGAGGCACAGGGACCCACAGATCATGATGGTGAGCACCCAAGGACCCCTGACCCAGCAAAACTCATGTCATGTTGACCCAGCCTTAAAGACACCATTTCGGCCCCTGAGCCTGCAGAACTTTCATTCATTCTATAGATTCTGCACTGATTCCAGTGCAGCTGACACCCAAGTCAGCTTCACATCACTGACCTGTACTGCCTTCCCCTGCTCCCTCCACACCAGGCCCCGAGGACATGGCATCTGCCTGCACACACTCCCTTCAAACCTCCTTCCCTATCGCAGAATCCTCACCACACACAGGCCAGGGCAGAGAGAAGGACCCACGGAACTTCCGTAGATGGCTGCCCCGCTCCCCTCAGGCCCAGAAGGGTGAATTATGAATTTTCACGATAATCTGGGTGGATTCCAAACCCAGATATCAGGAAAACATCCCCAGAGGAGAACAGGACCTTCCCCTCTCCCAGAGGAGAACAGGAGACAGGGGCTAATTCTGAAGTGGCCCCCAGGACAGGATGGGGGGACACCCAGAGGGAGCACCAGCCCAGCCTGCAGCGAGGACAGAGCTGGTGGGCCAGCCCGCCACGTGATGCTGAGTGCAAGGGCGTCTGGAGAATCAGCCCAGCTTCCGGCCCAGAAAACAGCCCCAGGTAGGGAATTAAGAGTCTCAATAACATTTCATAACTTTACAAAGGACTTTCACATACTTGATCTCACTTGAGTCTCAGAAACACCCCAGAAGGCAGAAATTATGTAATCCATTCTTCGGAGAGGGCTGGGCCTAGGAGAACTTGATTTTGTGGAGTGCCGACCCTGAGCCTATGCGAATAAACATACACAGCAATTACTTTCTGCCGCTGTTGGGGGCCAGTGGCTGGAGCAGCTGTCATTCACAGAATAATAAGAAATGTACTCCCCCACGCCCAGAAAGAACAGCCATATTCTGTGACAAAGGGCTCCCTGGCCCTAAGGGGGAGTTACCTGCATTGTTATGACGAGGCAAAGAAAGGGGGCAGGTAAGGTAAGGAGGGGACTTTGTTCCAGAAGAAAGAAGGTCCGCGGATATGCAGCTTTGGGAGTAGGATCCCTGGGCTGGGTCCCAAGATACCTTAGGACAGGTGATAAGCCTAGAGTGGCTGACAACCCCCACTCCACAGGAGCACAGCGCCTTGGTGGTGTCCCATCTTAAGGTGTGGGCCTGGGGCATTGGGGTTGGGGGCAGGATGGCAGCATTCCCTATGGCAGAGCTGACATAGAGACACAAGCTGCCTGCAGGGCTTGGCTCCTCCAGATGACCAGGTCTGGATAAGGAGGGGCCACAGGCAGCTGCCACTACCCTGGGCCAAGGTCCAAGCCTCACCCCTCCCCATCTGTCCTGACCCAAAAGCCCCACGTCCTCAAACAGCAGAAGGCTGGAGACAGAGCACCAGACATACCTGCTAGGAAAAGTTTACCAAACTTCGCCAGTAGGGGAACTCAAATGGGCTTTCATTAGATTTAGAAAAATAAAAAGGCACCAAGCAATTATTCATTATTTGATTTAGTCCCAATAGTTACCCAACAAGATAGAAACGACTAGTCCCACTTTGAATGAAGCTTCTGAGGCCCAGAGAGTCTCAGGAACTGCCTGCGGTCAGCGCCAGGACCAGCACAGGTGGCAGCGCTCTGAGCCCAGGAGGTGAGATGCAGCCAGGGCTGGTTCCAGAAAACACATCACCATCTAGAACAGTGGTTCTCAACCTGTGGGTCGAGACCCCTTTGGCAGTCGAACGACCCTTTCACAGGGGTCGCCTAAGACCATCCTGCATATCAGATATTTACATGATGATTCATAACGGTAGCAACATTACAGTTATGAAGTAGCAACGAAAATAATTTTATGGTTGGGTCACAACATGAGGAACTGTATTTAAAGGGCCAGAAGGTTGAGACCCACTGATCTAGAACAAGTGATTCAACACATCTCTCCTCATTCCAGCCAGTTTCCCCAGGGATTCACTCCAGTTGTGCCACAAGAAGAGGCCATAATAGTAAATCCTGTTGCTCAGCTCAGGCTTCACCCCGCTTCTGGACTCCCCTTGGCAAGATATTCCAGATTCTAGTCTAGATCGGGGACCTGAGCTGTCCAGTACAGCAGCCACTAGCACACAGAGCTACTGAGCACTTGGAACGTGACTGGTCCAAACTGAGATGTACACTCAGCGTCCAATACCCTCTGGACCTCAGAGACGAATGTAAACTATCGCTTATGATTTGTGTATTGATTACAAGTTGCAAGGGTAATACTGGGACCAGGTTGAGTTAAATGAACCACATTATTACAAGGAATTTCACTTGCTGTGCTTACCTTTTTTCAGGTGGCTACTAGAAAATTACAAATAATGCGTGGCTCGTGCTCAGCCCCTCGTGGGCAGCCCTGCTCCAAGTGCCACGTCTCTGATGGGTGTTACCCACCTGCCCCTGCCCCATTCCCAAGAACCGCGCTGCAAGCCGGGGAGGCAAGCCTCCCAAACATTCCGACAATTCGTCTCTTCTGGAAATTCCTGGACTCCGTCCTCCCACCCACACTCAGTGTCCATGAAGAACCTCCGGCCCAGTAACTGCCAGGGGAGTCATGTGAAGTGCAGGCACCAGTTCTGAGTGTTCAGATCCACCTGAAACCACACTGTCCACGGCCAGGGGAAGTGTCATAAGCAGGTGTTCATGCCCAGGTCTCATACCCTGTTAGCACCCGACGGCCTGGGAACTAGGGTGCGTTTCTCCCAGCCTCCTCTGCTCCCACCCCTGCCAGACTGTGAGCTCCTCCACAGCAGAACACTGCAGGGAAACTAAATGCATTGATCGCTTGTGAGGGCACCGCTGCTGTGCCAAGTGATTTGCATGTTTTATTTTATTTTATTTTATTCTCTCACCCATCCTGTGAGTAAGTATCGGCCTGTTGTGAAGACAGGAGCCCAAGGCTCTCAGAGTCGTGGATCTGTCTCCATTCCCATGCTTTTTCCTCTGCCCCATACGTACCCTTCCCCATGGGCAGACATCCCTCAGGGATCTTTGCTTTTCTGGTACCTAGCACAGTGCCCAGTGCATAATAGGTACGCGGTAAATACTGGTAAACTAGGTTAAGAACCTCCTGATAAACCAAATCCTATGCTCTTTCTTGCCTTGATCAAGACGTACATTGTCCCTTACCTTCCTGGCCTCATGCATGATGAAGTCCTCACTCACCCACCTGCAGGGCTGGGCCTTTCCTGTCTCCCCGTAACCTCCATCGCCTCCCACCATAAAGCCCCACAGGGTCAGGCCTGCTCAGATCCCCAGTCAAGTCTGAGATGCACAGACCACCTGCCCCGCTGAGAGGAGGGGTCCGGGAGTGGCCCAGGGCCAGTACACTATGGTCTGGGGTACCGAGGGACACAGCTATCCCGGGCACCTGTGGAGCTGCCAGCTCCCTCACTAAGCGCCTTTAGGTGTAACAAGTCCCCTGACTATCCTTGCTGGGTCCCTGGAACTCGATTCCCTGTCCATTTCCTCATATAAACAGGAGCCAAGCCCTGAGCCCGCCTGATGCCTGTAGCTGCTCCATTTCCTAGAGCTGGGCTCAGATTTCTGGATTCCTTCTCATCTAATTCTTTCTTCCTGATTTAGAACAAGGCCACCCAGAAGTCTTAATACTCTGCCCCTCCCCACCCCTAGCCTCGACCCTGTGGACCCTGACCCTGGCCTGTGCTGGAAAGGAATTTGCCACACCCCCTCGGACCTCCTGCCCCAGGTCATTGGCTCTCTCTCTCCCCCTGCCCTGGTCAGTTTCCCAAGGCCCCAAGCTATTTTTGCTCCTACCCCAGCCTGCCATTTTCCCGGTGAAAGTTGCCAGAGTGGTGCACTGTAAAACACACACAGTGAAGACCAGAGGACCAATGGGACAGAGGTCATATTTGGGGTATCCAGTCCCACTGTCCCCCATCCTTCCAGACTCAGGCCCTGCCTTCTAGGCTCTGGGGACCTGCTCAATGCTTCCTGTCTTAGCCGCCTTCCCACTGTGTCTGTCAGCTTCTCCCGGGCTCTCCAGACCCCTACTCATGACCTCCCCCAGCCACCCCTGATCATCGGCTCCTTGCCCTGGCATCCTTGCAGGGATGGAGGGAGCCACAAAGTCCCCCTTCCCTTTTATTTTTTTTACAAGAAATACCGACCCATCACTTCACTCTGTCATTTGAAAAATCTGAACCAATCGGCAGGCTTCCCACCCAGGGAGTCCCCAGTCCAGCCCTCAGGTATCACCAAGGCACGAAGAACTCCTGTGCCTATAGCTGCCTCTGCTCCCTGATTCCCTGCCACCAATTCCCTGGTTCCCAGGGGAGCTGACGGGGAGTAATGACTTCTTGATTTGTTGCCCTGAGTTCTTCAAACAAGAGGTGTTACATACATCACGGCATCAGGCCTTCCCATTAGGCACAGGAAGCGGACCCACCTGATGCTAAATCTTCCGGGGCCTGGCTCCAGCAAGCGCATGGGGCAGAAACTAATAACTGGGAAGCATCCATCTATCATCTTATCAGGCCTTACAAGGTTTGTTTGCATAGTTATCTTCCCAAGGGTTGACGTTTTATGTCTCCTGCAGGCTGATGTATTCTCCTACCTGTCATATCATTCAGGAAGAATAGATGAGCCGCAGGTTCATTACCTGTCATTACACCGTGTGCATGTCGCCAGGGGCCGAAGCATCCATTCTTCTTGTCTCCCGGCTGGTGCAGCCCCCCCGACTTAGAGGCTCCGGGTCCAACGGGCTGTGGGTTACACACTCTTCTCAGGCCCTGGGAGGGCTCCACGCCATCCCTTACTGCTTTGCTGGCGGGCCCACTCCTCAGGGGTGGTGAGGCCTCCTGAGCTCCCAGCTGCCTCAGAGGGAACCTGAGGAAGAACGGAGGTCTCTGTTACCAGGGCCAAAGACACATGTCCAAGTTTTAACTGTTCTAGAACTTTCCAGCTATCTTCTCATTGCTCTTTATTATTAGGTCTTGCAATTCCTGGTGACTATGTGAATTCTACATCAGCCAGAGTCTTTCTTCACTGCCCATGTCCCACCCACCAACACTATCCCCAAGCCTCAGCCTGCATGTATACACACACACACACACACACACACACCTGTATTCCTGTCTTCTTACCCTGCATATTTCTTATCTTCCTGAAAGACCCACCTTTACTCACTCATCCTAACCACCATTCAGAGTTTGGCTCATAACCACCAACAGAACCTCACTGCCCAGGAAAGAGGAAGGACTGGGGTGTTCTCCTCCACCAACGAGACCACAAAGAACAAGAACGTGTCTACTGGGGACCGTCCTCAACTCTGGAGGCCCAGGTCCCCGGGACAAGGCTTCCGGTGTGCTGTGGTTTGCGGGCTCCAGAAGGCCACCGGCCTGTGGCTGATGGAGAGCCTCGTTTCATAGACCTTCACGCAGAGGGAGAGACAAGAGTGGAGGTGCAGACCTCACTGGGTGAGGGACACAGACATGGGACACTGAGTGACCACATTTCACAGCCAAGACTGTGGCTCACACTATGGGGTGTGGGAGTGGGTGGTAAGGGGCTCCAGCTAGAAGCAGCCCTGCCCTGGTGTAGAGATCTGCTCAGCCCTGCACCTCTGACCAGGCACGGGCTCAGCAACTAGGGGGGAGGGGAGGGCTCCTGCTGCCTCATGGCTGTGACCCTGAGCTCCACCCAAATCTCAGGCTCCTAACCTTAACCCTAACCCTGCTGAGAAGGGGCTGTAGCAGGTGGACAGCTCTGCCAGGGCACCCAGCACTAGGTAAGAGGAAACACCATGGACAGGGGTGGGGGTGGGGAAGGAAGGCAGGCACAGGAAGTCCCATGGATTTTGTAAACACGAGGATGGCCATGTCTTACAACACCTGTAATGGTTTATACCCTTCAAGCTGTGTTTGCATCCATTGGAATGTAAAGGGGTATTTTAAAGATGAGACAACAGAAGCACAGAGAGGTTAAGAATCTCACTAAAGGTCACACAGTAAGTTAATGAAAGAGTCAAGACTGGAATTCTTGATTCCCAATTATCATTCTTTCCAGCAAGCTCCATGGTCCTAGGGTAATTTCATGTCCCCTCTGGGGTGCGGCCAGCCAATAGGAGTGGGAAGGCGGGGACAGAGACAGGCTTGGCCTGCGATGGGGGGATGGGGAGAAGAGCACAAGCATGCCTTTGGTTCCTCCCCTGACAGGAGAGTCTAGGAGGAGAAAGCACAGAGAGAACAAGTGATAAATAGGGAAGACAGGGATGTGGAGGCTCCCAGCCGCCAGGAGCAGCCCGGGCAGAGGAAACTGGCAGTGACAAATAGCCATGCTTCAGGCCTGTGCTGACCTTGAGCTCCCTGGGTGGCCTGGCTCCCAGTGGCTCTGGTGTCTGAGGCATTTCTGGGCAAGGCAGCACTGGGGCTTAGAAGTCCCTTTGAAAGAACAAAGAAATTATTACTATCACCTTCAAAAAGCACATGTATGTGCCAATGCTCTTTTGTATATATGACTTATTTCTAAATAATAAAAATGGGGGGCGGGAGGGGGGACCATGCAGTTCCACTCGTATACGTGAAGAAAGATCTCGGCTGCTCCTGACGGTGGGATTCTCTGCTGGATTCCATAGCGGCTCTGCTTCTACTGACACAGAGGAAGTCGCAACCTAGGAAATTCCTACCAGGCGAGGGGAGGCAGGGTCTCCCCACACGCCCACCTCCAGCCAACAGAGGACCAGACCTCAGAGCATCAGGCCACAGGAAGAGAAAGGCACCTCCTGGTGTCAGCGCTCTGTGTCCCGGACAGCCCCAGGGGCCTCATTCAGCCTTGCAGCTCTTAGTGGGCCCTACTGTGTGCAGTGGATGCCATGCGGGAGGGAAGCCATGCTGCACCCTTTAGAAGCCAGCCACCAGCCGACCTGGCTGGCTGCAGGTCACCTGGTGGCTCAGCTCCTGAAGCCAGCAGCCAGAGCACATCCGTTTTGGGGGGGAGGGGGAGGGTGAGAACAGGAGCCCTCGAGCCCTCCTGCAAGGTGGGGCTGAAACATATTCACAGCAGATGGTGCTGTCGCCCTCACTCTGGGATTCTCATTCCTAATTATCTGTGCTGTCAGCAAAACAATTAACCCTCGAAGAAAAATTGCACCGTCCACTCCCAACCACATGAAAAGGCAATTTTTTCCAAGGACGAGGGACACTTAGGGCAGCGGCACAGGGAAAGTAGGGCAGCCTTGTGTTGGGTTCTGGATCTCACTCTCCCTGGGTGATTTCGCCACCCTCTAACCCCCAAGGTCGGCCACAGGCATTGCACCGCAGCCCCTCCTGCCTCTGAGCCTGCATTTCCTTTGCCATAAGGGTGTGACTCTGATCCCTGGACCCCTGGGGTCCCCTTCAGCCCCACAAGCCCAGCTCTTTTCCTTTGAATTTAAGTTCCTTTAGAGCAGAGACTGAATTTCCATTTGTTCCTTCCTTCATTCATTCACTCAGTTATTCATCTGTTCATTCACCCATCCATCCATTCATTCATTCACTCACTTATTCTTCCATCCATCCATCCATCCATCCATCCATCCATCCACTCACTTGTTCTTCCATCCACCCATCCATCTATCCATCCATCCATCCATCCATCCATCCATCCTGTTATTGTGTATTTACCATGTTTCTCCCAGGCGGTACAAAGAAAATATTTATTCACCCTTCTTGACCACTACTTGAGCTTTCTTCCTCTGAGATGTGGGGAGAGGAGGGAAGGAGGGGGCAGGAAGGTGGGGGCTGCCAGGGGCTTGAGGACTTGACGCTCGCTTGGCATAAGGCTTAGGAGGGAAGTCCTGATGCTGCATTTGGATTCTCTCTGAAGATTCAGCTGCAGGAAGGCAGCCTCCGCTACAGAGGGCTGAATTTGATGAGCAAGCCACTGCGGTCCCCGGGGCAGGCCTGCAGAGGTGGAGAGGTGCGGTATAAGGAGAGCTGAAAGCTCCTAACAGCCACCATGGGCGGGCGAGTGACAGCACAGGGCTGCACCTCGCAGGTCCTCAGGAACCACGGAGGCCTGAGTGAATGGAAGGGCTAAGGCATGACGCCCGTTACCCAGGAGTCTCCTGCTTAAGGCTGGGATCATTTGGTCTCATCCATCCGTCGTCATGCACTGTCATGGAAAAGAAGGCAGGCTGAGCAAGGAATTGTAGAACCTTCTCTGTCAGAGCCTTCATGATGATGTCACCTGGGGCCAGGTTTTGCAGGTGCCACCTGGAGAAGGTAAAGGGCTGGTAGCTCACAGACAGGGAGAGGTGGAAGAGACCCTGCCACAGGTGGCCCCACATCCAGGTCGCACCCTGTCTCACTCCACACCACCTCCTAGATTGCCCCTGGAGGACAGAAAAGAACAGGGCACTGTTGCCACCCCCCCCCCCCCGCTTGCCCCCTGCAACTGGGGTGGGGCAGGCAGCTGGGACCGCTCTCCACCACCATTCTGACCAGTTCGAGCCACAGGGCATCTTCCTTGCCTCTCCCTACTGCCCGTCTGGCTACCAGCACTGGCCTCAGTCAGTACCAGGAGCACAGGCTCAGATGCCAGCGCCTCGGTATAAAGGAGTGTGTTTATATTCAAAGGGGGCTGTTGCCCACTCAGAATCTGCCCACTCGAAGGCAGCACATGTGACCGCACCCCCTGCCCAGAGCCCAAGCGGGACAGATGCCAACCTCTGTCTGGAGACATTTCCAAATATGAGCCTGGCACAAGGAGTCAGGTTCCCAGGCCTCCTCTGCCCTGGGAGACCCAGCCAGGATTTCTGAGGCTGCGGGAGGGTGAGGGCTGGGGGCAGGCGGGATCAGGAGGCAGCCAGCGGAGACAGCCACCAGCCCCGGATACACCACCTGCACCCCTCCCTGGCCTTCCAGCCTCATTAGGGAAGAGAAAGGATTACCTTGCACCCAGAAAGTCTAATAAATTTCCTGAAACCCTTGGCAGGGTGGACAGGAAAGCGACTGCCTCCTCAAATGTGCATGGATTAAAAATACACAAATGGAATATTTCTTCTTCCCCTCTCCTCAACCCCCTGAAGCCTCGGATGCTTGTTAAAAATAGCCTTGCTGTGCACGGATCCTGCAAGACCCAAGGCTGGCAGGAAAATTAAGGAGACATTGAAGACAGCGCTAAGTGGTTACCCCCGGGGAGTGGGCTGGGGACGGCCCGGAGGAGGGCAGGCTTTTCAAGTGTTTCCGGACATACTTCCACGCTGCTTGGGTTTTTAACAACAAGCAGACATTATTTTTACTAGTTTGTTTTATGAAACGGAGGTTCATCCATTGCATCCTCCAGCCTAAACTTAAGCCTGAACTTGCACTGACCTAGCAACCCAACATTGCCCAGTGCTGGCTGGCCTGACGGGGCAGCAGATAAAAATACAGCCCAGAGTCAGGAAAGGAGCACTGAGTCCAGAGTCTCGGGTCTGTAACTAGCTGGCTGTGTGACCTCAGACAAGTCACTTGAGTTCTCTGGGCTTCAATTTCCTTGCCTTTTAAATGAGGGAGTTGGATTAAATGCTAACCCGGGTACCTTCTGACATCCTAGCATTTCACAGAACATCTGAGACTTGGCTCGTGTTTAACCTTAATGGGCAAGGGGAATGTGTCCAGAAAGAGAGAAATATTGATATGAGAGAAATACATCGATTGGTTGCCTACTGCAGGAGCCCTGACCAGGGCCAGGGCCAGGGAGGAGGTGGCCACCAAGGTACATGCCCTTGACCAGAATTGAACCCGGGACCCTTTGGTCCACAAGCCAACACTCTATCCACTGAGCCAAATCAGCTAGGGCCAGAGGTAGGGTTTTAAAGCAAGAGCTAGGTAGGAAGAAGAGAAGCTGTTTTGA